ATCTTGTGTATTATTGGTCAGGTTTTTTTTTTTTTTTTTTTTTTTTAACATCACATTTGCATTGAAGGTTTACATAGCAGTGTAGGTTCCCTTCAACAGTTTCCACACAAGCTGTTCACTGGCGTTGGTCATGTTCTTCACAATGCACGACCATTCTGTTTCCATTCTGGTTGCTCCGTTTCCATTCATCTTGTTTCCATGCCTGTTACCGTCTTATCTTTCTTTTAATTATTGACTGTCTGGTCTCGTACAGGGGATTTTTTAAGGGATCCCAGTACTTATGATGCTATTCATTACTTTTTTGAGCCAATTTGTTACAGCTACAAGGTGACCTTGAGTTAGTTTCTGTTCGGGTTTGAAGAGTGTCTCGGGGCAGTGGTCTCGGGGAGTTGTCCAGTCTTAACCAGTGCAGTCTGGCTGGTTTATGTTTGTTTGTTGGTTTGTTTTTGTGTTTTAGGATTTGTGTGTCTGCCCCACGTTTTCCTCCACTTCCTCAGGGTCCATCCGTTGTAGCCTGATCAGAATGACAGGTAGTGGTAGTGGGGCACCATCTAGTTCTTCTGATCTCAGAGTGGAGGAGGCCATGGTTCAGGTAGACTGTGTGTACTGTGGACAAGTTTCTTCTCTGTGTCTTTGGTTTCTGCCTTTCTCTTTTGCTCCAGACAACTGGAGCCTGCTTAGTGTTTTGGTGGAGGCATACGACGGGGGATGACAGTGGTCGTTAGATTGATTTCTCAAACACTGGAGAGTTTATTGTGTCACAACACAACTCCTTTCAGTTAAATCAGGGCTAGGAACTGGTTCAAAAGGGTCCAGTCATGGCCGACAGAAACAAGGGTTGCATGGCACCCAGATATCCTGTGTGTCACATTTCAACCTGAGTAGGAAACAGGCAAGGAGCCCTGGTGGCATGATGGTTAAGTGCTTGGTTCCTAACTGAAAGGTCGGTGGTTCAAACCCACCAGCTGCTCCGTGGGAGAAAGATGGGACAATCTGCTTCCATAGAGATTACAACCTTGGAAACTCTATGGAGCAGTTCTACTCTGTCCTATAGGGTCCTTTGAGTAAGAATTGACTTGATAGAAGTGGATTGTTTTTTTTTGGTTGGTTAGGAAACAGGCATTGGTGCCCCATTCAAAATGGTGGCTGATCGTGCCTCTCTGGAGAGTGACACACATTGGGAGTGGCACCGTGGCCACCGTCTTTAGACAGGGCAGCACTGCCACTTTCTTGCTCGGGCAAAATCTGTAAGAGAGTGGGATGTTAGGCAATGTGGATGCTGTCCTTGTTCCCTTTGGCTCTGATTGAACCATTTCACATCAGTTCCAGCCCAGCTTTAAATGCTAGAAAGTTCCGTGACGGTGTCTCTTCAGGCTTTTGATTTCTGGGAAGGTGCAGTTAGAACTGGATGAGAAGGTTGTTAGGTTCAAAACAACGGTTAGAACTGGATGAGGAGGCTGTTAGGTTCAAAACAACGGTTCCTTCAAAGAAGGAAAAATTACGAGCCTGTATTTTCTGATGATACTGGCCAGCATCTGTGTCGTTTCTGCCTTGTTTTATGTGAAACACTCGTTAGGTTTTTATGTTCCTTTTGACTTGAGAAAACTCCCCGGTGTTTTTTTAGGGTGTAGGAGTCTCAGCCTCCTCCTGGTGGAGCTTTCACCCGCAGATTGCCTTTCCGTCCTCCAGGCTCTCATTCTGAACAGAAGACGGTGACTCACCGCACTCTCTCGGGACTGGGGTAACAGTAAATTTAAAGTTCAAATCAAGTTCAGGAGAAGCAGGTGTAGAACTGAGGTAACGTGGGAGGTGGCTCCCCCTCTTTTCTGAATCCTGC